TTACCCTTTACATTTTTCGCTTTAGCAAACATTTTGTCCCAAATTCCATTTAAACTTGCAGTTTTCGGTGATTGTAATTGAAGACAATAAATTTTAAAGGCGTAAGTTATTTTGCGTGTGTGTGTGTAGTTGTAACGAAAAAATATGTAACGTCCATCTTAAAATTGACTAGATTACGTATCGTAATATAATCGTCACACATATGAAGTGTAACATTTCGTCGTGAGTTACGACTGGCTTTTTACTTTTTAATGTTTCTCAGTATTGCTGTCTGAAGTAATTAATCCTTTTAAGAGTCCGAGTTTCACCAGTGAGGCGACCTCTCTTTACTTTGTCTTTGGAAACATGGCAATACCGTGATCACTAGTGGTTTTTGATTGCCGTGAGAAATTTTTAAGAGTGTAATTTGATTGGTGGATATTAATTGCTATAAGCTTGTAAAACGCATTTTCTTGTTATATGTTTTTTATTCTTTTAGAGGTTTGCATCATTGTAATAGGAATGATTTTGTTTCAATGTAAAAATTTGTATTTTTTTTTAATTCTAATTCATAATCACAGACGAACACAAAAAGATAGACAGAACACTTGGTAACACAATGTACATTTCCAAGTGACACCGAAACCATGCTCGACTTTTAGCATGCACTCACGCACCTATAGTTTTTCTTTCTTTCTTTAACAGTATGTACCTAATAGTCTAATGCTGATGCTGGTTACAAATGATATTTTAGCATCACTTGAAATCTAAGGTCTGAGTATAAATTATAATAACCAAAATTAGCATTATACCTATACGTCAATTTTAGGATCGAACATGAAATGCTACGTTATTTTGATTATGACTTAATTTTTAAATGTTGGCTGCATAAATTGTTTTTAAATGTTTAAATAATAAAAGAAGACAATTTAAATAGTAACAGTCGTAACACTAGAGCTACATAGATTGCATAGTTTTAAGAACGGCCTTTGTCTCTACACGGCGGTGTCAGTATACCAACAACTATAACCCGCCCAACTTATGCTATCCCTATTAGAAATATTTCTTCTCAGTACAACCGGCATTCTAAATTCGGACGCATTGTAGACTTGAACTCTCCATACTTACTCGTGTTTACCACGAAACTGTTTAGCATTCTAACCGTACTCGTGTACTGTCGCCAATAAAGCGTCGACCTGGATATTTTTATAGAATATTCGTACATAAAAATCTCACATTCACACGGTACTGGCAACATAGTGGGTAATTTATTCTATATGCGTTTCCGTACTATTCTGAGGTTAGTTAAGTGAACACATCTGCTTATCTTGTACAAGAATGACGCAATGACTGTTGAAAATAATTCTGTTTTAAAAGGTTTACTTCGTAGTTTTTTTTTATTCACTGTCCCTAGCAAGTAGAGTTCGTCTGATTTTTTTTATATAACGGCTAACAGTACTTGTTGCTACTGCAACCCATGAACATTTGCAATCAACTGCATAAAAGAAATTCACAGGTGCGCTGCTGAGGATTAATTTGGAATACGTATCAGCTTGCAATTAGTCTAGCTCTCCAAACCAGCAGTCTAAACCACAAGTAGTGGATGTATTACTGTTAAGCGTCAGAAAACGGCAAAATATCCAGGCCATGGAGTCTATGCAGTTCTCGAGGACTGTTAAAAAATATTTTTTGTCATTTGCAGAAGTAGATTCACATATACCTAAAGTCACTGCCGGTGATTCACGGGTTCAACGTACCTTCCGTTCCTCTCAGGAATAGAATGCGATAAAGTTAATTAAAACCATTAATAATTCAGATTAATCGTGTCTGAAACACTTTAACATCGAAACGTTACGGGTCCTTCATTATCGTGCATTTCGCATATCTTTTAATTTGATGGACGGTACACGATGCTTCCCTCGGCCCATCTACGTGAACCGGTCCCGTGAATAAAATCATATATCGCTGCATAATGAACCTTATCACTAATGAAATTGAATCTGAATTGACAAATGCAGTATTGAGATATAGTTAAATAAAAAAACCTGTTCAAACGACGTTGCCACACTAGCAAAGTGTGAAATATGAAATCACGATCTTCTCCATTTGCCCTGATGTTTGTGTTCGAAATAACTGGGTATTTTCTTATGTCAAAAGAGGAAGGACGATGGCTTTGCTTTGATGTTTTATTTAAATAAAATCCATGTACCGTATTATTAATAGCGACAAAGTAAATGACCCAGTTCCATTTTTGAAATTTTCTAATCTTCCGTGGGAGTTTAAAATTAGCAGTCGTAAAAGGTAATATATTTAACATCTGTTGCTATTATTTATTTAACAAAACAGACAAACAAACAGCAAACAATGAATGTAGACAATAGTGGTAGAAACATGTGGCAGAAAGATGTTAGAAAGCTAAGTCATCTCTCAGCTTTGTTCCACAAACATCCCAAATGGATGGCGCTTGTATAATCACAAAATCCCAAAACAATTAGTTCCCACGTTTCCTTGAATTTCACTAATTAATAATGAAATTTACAGGCTCTGATATGGAAGTAGCCTTTAATGCAGTCTCGTAAAACGATAAAATAATTCCCCAGTTTGAACTCCCTTAAAAACGTCTATGAGATCTTTTAAACTCAATTTAACGCATTACATTCAAGGTAGAATAGATAGTGGCTTCGTGTTTAGAGTTGCTGTTTAAAATGGTTTAAATTATTATTTTTATTTTCTTTAAGTTATAGCAGGATGCGAGTTTAAAGCAGTAATACTCAAGTAGTTATAATTTAACAAATTGAAAATAATGTGTTCCTAAATTTCATTTGCAAATAAAAATAAAAATTTGGCACTCAATCCTGCTTTTTATATGCAATAAAATAGTAACACAGGCAAATTGTGACAATCTGCTCCTTTTATAAATTCAGTTAAAGATAAATTAAATTAATTTTTAATATATTATACATTTTTTATTTGGATTTTAAAACGGCAACTCTAACAGCAGAGACAAAGAATCTCCGAATCTCTGTAATTTCATCCGTGTTATAAAAATTCGAATATGGAACACGCCAAAAACTTATCACACGTCGATTATTAAAAAATAAAGCAAGTTGTATACCGACAAGTGTGTTTCCTTAATTGCCGGCTAGCTAGTCTGCGCAAGCATTGTAAGTATACGGTATCGCGAGATGGGCACGTTTATAAAAGGCTACCTGTACACGTACGCTTCGTCGTCGGCCGCTTTTTATGGACTGACTCGAGAGTCACTGTCGTGGGAACCGGCATATACTTACGGCCGGCTACAGCTGACCGAAATGCGCTCTCCATACCCGATTAACAAATCAATACATTGTGTACAACGGCTTAACATGTTTGATCGCGCGCGAAACAACTGCAGCGTTTTCGATCGATTTGTTCCTTCACTTATAACGAATAAAGTCCACGTTGAATTGACTGACAAAAGAAAGGATAAAGCTGAAGTTTGTTTATTCAGATCGGTAGCCTGTTTGGTATTCAAAGACAGACGATAACACGTCCGCTCGCTCACGATGCATCGGACTTTATTAAAAATTCGTCAAAACTTCAATATTGTCTCCTGATTTAAAAAGATAACTTTCTTGTTAAAACGCAGAGCGTAAGACGCTGAGAAAATGTGATTTCTAGTATCGATTTCCATCCACAATGATGATTGTTTGCAAGTTCCAATGCTAAATAGTTCATTGTTGGTTCTCGCGATGCAAATAGTGTTTTCATTCAAGCTCTAATTGACGAAAGGGGGCATCTGGCGGTGGAAAATTGAATCATGTGGTAAGGCAAGCGTGTCATATGAAGGAATTAAGTTGACCTTTCATATCCGTCGGTCACAGCTGCCGCATCGTTGATTGCCTTTACAATGTTACGTCGCTGTGCCTCTTTAAGATTTTAAAAGCCGTTAATTCTACAGAAAATGACAGTCCTTGATGCGATCTGTTTGTAATGAAAGTTATTCAGCCATTATTTTTACAATTTCCCCGTCTATCGACGCGTCCCATCTAATAAATAATACGACCAACCATTCGTGGAGAGTTCGTTTTTGTTCAAATTACCTTCTTATTTATTGGTATAAATAAACGAGAGAGCGGGTCAAGTTTTGAATCCAACGTATGTTATGTATGTTCAACGTTTGAACTGTAATTATCTATGTTAAAGGGAATGACTGGAACGTAATTACTTACAAAAATACGTTGCGTATAGATAGTTTTTATTACAACGTTTCCAGCTCGGAGAAACAATTGTTCGCGCGTTCCTTCACGCTTCAGTGAGCCTTTAATCCTTAAGTTTTTCTTTTAGCGAGAACTTTGCGATATGTAATTTTACCAATGCAAGAATCTATTGTCTTTGCTAATTGAAGGTGGTTGAACTAGACTGTGAATAGAATGAAGAAGCGGCGGCACAATTATATATGTGACACATTTTCGCATAAACCAGGAGTGCCGAGCAATAAAACCCATTGATAAATCGAGCGGAGGCGCCTACAAGCTGCCGACCCAGGCTTATCACGTTTAATCGTATTTTCGACAACCGTTTTGGCTCCTTAAGCAAACAGTCACGAATGTCAACACCACGCTATCAGATAGCAGGCCGTTTCAGTACATTTTTTTCTACGCTCGCCTACGGAAGCGATGAATCCATATTGGGCGAGTTATGTACGAGTGGACACTCGAGTATTTTTAGCCCGTATTTATACAGTTCTCGCTGTACATCTGCCCCCTGCTTCACCTGTCTATCATGCTGTTAATTTACACTCATCCGCCATATCGAAACGGGTCGTAAACTAAAGGAAATATTTGAAATGCTCGACCGCCGCGCCCATTTTAAAGGTCTCCGGTTAACAGAGATGGTATATCGTAGTTTATCTTATTAGAGAGGGACGAGAAAATATACTTCGTTAATACTTGTTTACTATGCATATGGTAATACGAGTTTTTTTATGTTCTTATTAAGTATTAAACTTCAACTGTATTAATATTGCTTTTTGTTTTCAGGGCACTTTCTCGCTCATAGTCGAAGCGTGGCATGATACGAACGAAACGTCAAGATCTGATGGTGAGTGATATTCTTTTTAAATGTTAAGTATCATGAAAAACGAAAAGTTTTCTTATTTTTTGTACAATTCAAATCACGTATGCGTAACGACTCGCTTACATTCAGGTTTCACTGTAATTCTGGGTGTTTATCGTGTATTTAACGGACAGTATGTATATTTGAATGTTTATATTACCACATCGTGGAAGACAAAAATGTTCCCATGGTGCAGACACTTGACGTTCTGGGCACGCCGCGTCGTGCGTGATTCGCGTGCCAATGCATGTCGTATTCTAATAAACTCAGCCTTCTGTAGGACGAAAATTTAGTAGAAATGTTCTAATGTATTCCGATGGCCGTTGACCGATGCCTAGTCCCCAGATAAACGATAAAAAAAACTATTTCATACCATCATGTTATCTTCAGACATTATAATTTGTAAACATATGCTATTACAATTACGAAAATTTTTTGATATGAAATTCGTGAGTTTTATATTACTCGAGTTGAAATCCAATAAACTATCGACAGTTTAACGGCGCACATGCGACATGGCGTGACCGAAAAACCGATTTCGAACGAAATGTAACCGAACCAACCGCAGTAAATATATCATCATGATAATTTGCTCGTGCATCGATACTCCAGCCTTTCTGAGCACGAGCTTATAAAACTTTAGATACAATCAATCATCTAAAGAACGGCGACATTCATTACAAAAGAAAAATATTAAAGTTTATAAACCGAATTACTGTCTTGTTTTAAAAAAATAGCAAACTTTACTTCATAATTCCAAATAGAGTCGCGACACGCCCGTATCGGCCATTGATATTCGCGAACCCGCATACCATAGACTGAACACCGCCCATTTCTTAATTAGATTCCGATCCCAATGCACTCTGACCGTCATAATTACAACTCGGCGTCTAAAAAAACAAACGTGATTTACTTAAAAAGAGATTCGGAGATATGGTGCGCTACAGAGCCGGTTACCGAAAATCATTAGCGTCCCGAGTGGATAACTTAGGCATAGGGCAACCATATTCGAAATAGTAAATCCGAGACATAAGTTATTACTATCCGAATGAGCATTACAAATCAAACTGAAAATTAGTATAAAAGTTTAAATTGATGTCACTGATAAATATAATAAAAAGCCGAATATAAGTAGTTATACTCAATTGCAATAAATCCGGTAAAAGCATAATATATGGCAACACTAATTAGAGGACGGGTGTATTTTTAATACGGCGCGGGAGCGATGGGCGGCGCCGCATCACTACCGAGAAACGTAACCAACAGAAATCTAATCAACCATAATAACAGGTTACAAGCACAGCAGTTTGTGTGCACTCACTATCTCGCTGCCCCATTCTTAATTAAATCACATTCGAGTTTTTTCTATTTCTAAAACTAGTAATCGATCGCGACTATGGCTACATATTAGAAACAAAAAAAAACCGAAATAAATCGAACCATGAATTATATAAAACATTTTAAATAAATAGGCAGTCACGGATACCTAAAAGGTAAAAAGTTCTTAGGACTACAATATTTTTATTTTAAATACTGCATTATTTTGCGCAAAAGTACGTACGTATTATATCGAAACGTCACAAAGAAAACACACGATCACAGAATGAAATTAATCATAGTTTTCTCAATTGTTCAGAGCATAAAGAGATTCTACGCCTAAACAAATCCGTATACGACAATGGCGAGAGATCCTGCGGAGCTACTTCAACGAAATCTTTTATGCTTGGCCCGGGGCGACGTACGCCACACCTGGTACAGTAACGGAGTCCGGTATTGTTTAAAAAAATATACCTCCGAGGAAGTGAACATTTTAAGTTTACTACATCTTTCGTCGTAGGGCTTGAGCTGGAAAAAAATGAAGGAAGAAGCTCCGGAAGGCTCAATTTATGATGTAACTTCTACTTAGGATGTGTCGACAGATGCTAAGCACATGCTATGGGCACTATGACTCGCTTTGTTTACCGGCGTCTCTCCGTTTACGATATTGCACTGTCTCGATTTACACCTCCATGTAGGCGCACTGGGAGCGTGTGAAATAAAGCATTAAGTGATTCGTGGATAGTGTTGTTAGATATGCGTTCTTCAACCGGATTTAATATTTCCGGTTTTATCTCGTCTTGGAATCGTTATGAAACCACTCTTCAAATTCTAAGTATAGATGTTAAATAAATATTATTTAAGTACGTAAACGTTATATTTAAATATTGGTTATTAAGAATGTCGATAGTGTGGCAGGTAGCGAGTCGCCGCGGGCTTAGCTAGCACCCGGCATATTAAGACCAAAATGCAATTATAGTCACAGCTATGTTGTGATGTCCGTTTATCTGACCGTGCGTTATTAGTCAATTCATTACGCATTCCCGGCTTTTAGTTCCCAGAGCTTTCTCGTCATGATAGTGGTGCATTAATTGCCTCTCTCGCTAGGTATTAAGTTGTGCAATCCGCGGTTTATAAGTATCGCGGCGCGGAACGCAATTACCCTTTCCTAAAAAAAAAAAAACAATAGATAATTAACAAGTCGAGAACGACGTGCGAAAAATTTCGTTAAATGTCTCTTTATTTGTTAATCCGGCTTAACTTTTTATTGGTCACGTTCAAAAATCATGCGACCCGCAAGATTGTTTATCCAGCACGTCGTAGAGCGCCGCTCAAATTGAAAACTCGTCGAGCATTAGAAGTGGACAGTTTTATAAACAAAAGGAGTGAGTCGTTTGTGTGCACAGCCCATTGATGAAATTCCGTTTCCCACAGCGACGACGGGCCGGTCGAACGAGTGGCCGAATCGAAACGGTCAAGAGTGTTTAAGAACTATATAATAGTAATACATCGATGTCATTTTAACGTCATTGTATTTTGATACGATACATCGACATCAATCGGCCATCTCTCACTTAATTAGACTTTAATCTAGATCCAGTCCGCACCGCTCAGTTATTGTCAATGCAAGCATAATGAATGCTCGCATCCGGTAACTATATTGATACGTTAATCGGAAGCTGCATTGCGTGATCGCATCCCGGCGTTTTCTTCAAAATCGCATTTAATACACCCCAAATCGTTCGCATCCGACGCTTCGGCCAATTTAAATTATCGGTTGTATGGCTTTCTTTTATTTTGTATAACGCTACCTCTCCTCCGATGGAGTCAGGTTTGACCTCTGCCCGTAATAACATGCTATCTAAACACGTACATCATCCTTATTTTAAATGGCTTATTTATTTATAAATCAAGTTATTAATAATAGATGGCGGGCTGCCTTCACTTAATGTCGCTGTGGCGCCGATTTACGATGATGAGTGTAATTTGTGATGGTCACGGTTTCGAGTTAGCGTCATACAAAACAAAAAGCAACAATTTTCTCTGCAACTACGTACAATTTTAAATATTAATAGCTGACATTATAATATGTATAGTAAAACATTTTTTTAAACTTGAATTATTTAATGTGGTTATAAAAAAAAAATATTTTACAAAAATGTTAAAAAATAAAAACAATTTTACTATAATACTAATATATTTAAATTTAAAACGCGCCAACCCTGCTACACCTGAACAGGCAAACTCACGGTTGCCATAATTCTCCTGCACACATTCGAGCTAAATTGTTCGCGGCCCGAGCTCGGTTCCCACACATCATTTTTCTAATTCCCCCCCGAACTCTGCAACTTCGCTGTAATAACGTTCTCTGAACCTATCGTATTACGGCCATGACTACGTATAAAACTTCGTACTGAAACTTCCATGTGGTAAAAGAAATACATATACTCATATTATGCAGCTTCTTACGAGTTATTGTAATCTTTAATATAGCCGAATCTAGATATTATTTTATATTAACGCATGAAGAGACATTCTCTAGGTCTAGATCGCATACTTAACTTTTTACGTAATGATATATCACACTGTTCTCTGAGCTATACGATTGATTTACGCTTTCTATTCCTAATCGGAATAAATCTATATTTATTATGTTTTCGTTTGGTAGGCAGTGAGTGTATCTATGCGTTTTATCTCTCAGATTTATTGCCTCGATAGTATCGGTGTAGGCTTAAACAGTTGAATCCGACTCTGTTTTAACCCGAATCACTTGTCAGTTGCACAGATTATAAATTTTGTAATTCGCGCCAAAACGTCCATAAATTATCAACCGTTTAGAATTGCTAAAAGAATGATTATATAATTTTTTTTAAGTATTTTGATGGCGAAATCCATTAACCTGTATGTTTTGTAATAAACAAGATGCTGTAAGGAATGTCAGATCGGAGATAAACCTCCATCTCATTACTCGATATCCTTTATCGCTGACACCCCACGCAACACAACAAAGAACAATCCATTCGTATCGGGTACCATGCGCCACGAAATTAGTCGGGTTCGATCGTTTTTATGTACCTTTTAATTTTGTTTCGCGTCTGGTTTAATTTTATCAGCCGTCGGGATTACCGGCTTAGGAATGTAGCGTCGAGCGTGGCAAAAAGACTAAGAAAGAGCACGAATGGAAATAAATAAATGTAGGAACTTCAAGATACTGAGGTTTCTCAGCGTGCCTCCGACCCGACAATCGCTCCGTTGATGAATGGATTCGCGTTTTTTCTTTTAATATGCTTGATATTTCACAGACAATATAATATGTTCCAGGATTAATTTTCTTATCAAAAAGTTAATTTTTTCTTTAATACTATTTCGTCTGTATCATTATTATTTCTTAACGTACTTGTGTTTTGTAACTCGTAATCAATCAAAACGAAGCAAAGCAGTGAATCACGCTTGGGAACAATGAATTCCCGCGTTCGAATGCGGGCGTCAAATAGACACTAACAGGTCAATTTACTCGTATAACCCTTTCCCACGGTGATAAACAAACGCAGATAATAGTTTTTTCGACTTAATCAAATTAAGCGTGTCGTTATCCTCCCAAGATTCTGATCTCTAACGACCGCACGAACTTATTTTTAAACATTACATGATCTAATACTTTTTCTAATGTGTTCTAAAATAAACTGGACATGATCAATTGAAAGAAATTATTATAATAACACATTTTTATTACCTTTCAGATACCCTCATCGCGCGCATGACGAAGCAGAGTATAGCTGACGTTGGCGGCCCGTGGGTGGAAGAAGAGCAACGGTGGGGAGGACCTGGCGGTGCTCATTTGAGGCTATCATACCGAGTGACATGTGCTGCGCATTACTACGGCTCCGGCTGTGAAGTTCTCTGCAGGCCTAGGAATGATTCCTTCGGGCATTACACCTGCTCGCCTGCTGGAGAGATCGTCTGCTTGCCGGGATGGACGGGCGACTACTGCTCTAAACGTAAGTTTCCGCTATTGTGCAACTCATAGTTTAAATTTCGAAAGAAATAATTTTTGAATCATACTAGCCGCATATTAATTTTTATTATCTTTTGTAATGATCTCGTCATTTAAATAATGCAACATAATATGTTAGCTGTTCTTTTTACATAAATCGATCAATTAACGTTATTACAAACATTTCATAAATTTGCGTTTCACAATGAGTACGGCGATAATGTCCCACGCTGCTTGTATTTCACTACACCGCGCGTTTCTAATTACAACGATCTATTGAAATTTCGAACCGAAAATTATTATGTAGCGCACACGTCACACGGCCATTTAAATATGGAACGTTCCCCAATTCACTCTTCCTCATTAAAACGGGTTACGACAAAATTTCAGCGGAACATCCTCTCATAAACACATCTAATTGAAACACGCGACCTTTTCACTGGCAACACGGGTGAAACGTTTTCTCTCCGCGTCCTGGTTTTTGCGGCGTGAGCAAACGCCGCACCTAAGTGACTCATCGAGGGTCAAAGGTTTACTGTCACAGTGTCTCTTATTTATAACATTAATATAATAACGTTGACAGAAGATGAGGCTTCTTCTTTATTTTCGACTACTATACATCACACTGCCATAAACTGCTTGTTGCGTAAGAATTGCAAAACATTAAATAAACCATTTTCAGGCTATATCGAGAGTATCAACCGCGAAATACACGGATGATATACATTTTACGTTATATCGCTCGTAAAATACATTTACGACTAACCCCTTTTATGAATCTGTCATGACGAATTCTTAAATAAAAAATACCGACTTAGTATTAAGTATTGGAATATTGCACCTATTAATATTAATTTAGTAATATATTCATTAAAACATAATGAATTCAAAATACTAAAACATCATAAAAATATCTCGAATGAACACCGAAATACAAAGCTCATTCAAAGCTTTAAATTAAGTTAAATAACCTCAAATTAGCAATTATTTTTTATTTCCAAATACCACATCGGAAGATTAATTATAAGAAATTTTTATTACTAATTGTTTCAAGTGCAAGTTTCCACATAAAAACTATTTTATGGGATACCGCAACTGGTCCACTACTTGCTTATAAGCTCGCGCAACATTTTTAATTTGGTGATGCTTATCTTAATTACAATTAAGTTTTATTATATAGAATATGACGTCAAATAAATATGAAGAATGAGGCATTAAGAGGTCACTAAAATTCATTGAGTTCATTGCTACTATGAACTTTCGTAGTAAAACAAAAATAATTAAAATATTTTTTATTTTTAAATAGCACGAACCGATGCCCATTCAGGCTCTTTATTAAAATAAAATAAAAATATAATTTTTTTCGAATATATCATTACATAATTGCACATTTAATTGTTTAAATGTAAGCAATAAGAAAAGTTGTCTGTCTGTACGTTTTACGGTTGAATATGCGTGTGGTCTTTGTCAGCTTGTTTGTCTCCGCCTCAATAGATGTATGCGTAAACAAAGGCATCCGAGATAGGCTTGTAGCATCACAACATTAATCAATGTCTACCGCGAGATCTTATTAGCATATACAGATTACTTAATTATTTCCTTTTTATCGTCAAATTCAGAATCATTTTTAATCTTACTAATTAAATTAATGTGAAAGTTACTGTGCTTTGTTGTTTGTCATTAATCCTGCTAAAACTTATACTGTCCTTTGGTTTTTCACTTTATTCTTATCTAGACGAGTACCACGCTAGCGAAGCCGCAAAAGCCATAATGTGAACATTTTTTTATATTTAAATACTTTATCTTACTTTAACTTTAACACTTCATTGATTAGATGTTTTAGTTTAAAATATATGGCGTTCTATATGTGCTAAAATTAAATTATCTTAAAATATTAATGCTTATGTTGCTAATTCAGAATTGCCATATCATTCAGTCCCATTCAACTTACGATTAAAGAATTGATAAGAAATTTGCAATTCCATCGAGCGGACGCGTACAAAAAGAACCCGTCTAAACCTTTCAAACGCTGGCGTATGTTGGACGCATCGTGAAACAACTCTGCGTTCAAGATGCATTGTGGCGCGGCGGATGTCATCGCAATCTCGGCAGCCCCACCTGCCGCCGAGTTCCCACACTCCGGCGCCGCAAAAAAACCCGCCAGACCGAGACAGAAAACACAACCGATTCACTGTCCCTCTTCCACACCAGGGCTGAGATCTCTTGTAGCTTAAAAACCGTATAAATGTCTAGTTAAAGATTTTTAATCGTGCGTTGTCAACGATTTGTATTCGCTATCATAAAATACGTGTGAATGCGATTCTTATGATCTAATTTTGTATTGAAAATAATAGTACAAACTGCTTTGAAAAATCATGCACAGGAAGCAAATTGGTAGCCTTGAATTAAATTAAAAAAAAACGAATAGATATACTTAAAAGTACACACATCACACTCAGCGAATCATTCAGTGCGAATCTCTATAGTGATATATAATGAAGAAAAACTCACGGCAACCCTATTACAGAGTTTGTATCGGCGATTACGAAAATGTAAAATCGAGAGAAGCGGCCATAATGAAATGAAAACAACACTCCGTACTTGCACACGCACACAGCGCTGCGCTCTGCCGCGAACCGGGTCAAAAACACCTTTAAACGAGAAACGAAACACCAATCGAAATAAACTCTACACACTTGACCGTGTCACGAAACATCGCATCTGCCGAACGGTATCCAGCCTTCTGGGAAAGCTTAACGATCCCGAAAAAAATCATTTGCATGTCCCGATTGCATTATCCAAGCAACTCTTGTTGTTAATGACGGGGTAAACAACGCAATTTCGCCTGATTGTTAACCTGAGCTCCGTTCTCACGAACGAATCCCGAATCGCAAATCCCACGCGCTCCGTATTTCCCGTCCCCGCTGGAAACAGATGTGGGACAACTAAATATTTGCGGAGGATCGGAACACATGTTATAAATCTAGAGAACGCTTTTTTCGTCGACTTACCTGGCCTCGCCTAGACCTTGGTCCCATTGCGCCATACGAATCGATACTGTTCGTTTCCATTGATAATTAATAACGCAACAGGGGGCTCCCATCCGCGGCACTTGCCCACCACCGCTTCTAACACTTTTATGTAACTTTTACGACTTCTGTTTTACCAACCGTTCAAGGGTCCAGATAAGATTCAAGTCAAGTGGCGGTGTTGTAGAGTGGATAGAGCAATCAGTAATAAAGTCGACTACTTCAAACTCTTTGATCTGAACCTTAATGTACCGATGAACGGCGCCTTTGCCAGTCATAAAAACGCCCTAATATTTATTTTTAATTTTAACGACATACAAATACATCCTATTATGTTGTGAAAGTTCCAAATAATGGTCACAATTTCACCTTGCAAATTTCGCTCGTAATCGTAGTAAGTAATTCTATCCAAACTTACCTCTCCAATTTGCTCGAGCGAGGCGTATAAGCCGATTAGCTCAGTGCACTTTCGGGGACTTTGTACAGCTCCGGCGGAGTTTAAACCTATATAATGGTCTAGGGAGCGCTATGGAAGGCTAATCTCCTATATCCCACCGAGTTGAGCTCGGGGAGATGCATCGTTTCAATAAAATACACAGTGTTTCCTCGTTCAATTTAAACTGGTATAAAATAGGATTATATTATGTTACGCGATGGAAATGCTAGTTGTGAGCAAATGGTTACTTAGTATTTTTCTAGTTAGGGGACTAGTAACGGTCGAGCGTCGGTTAGGCTCCCCGCACTATCTGCCCCCTTTGTATTCGCTCCGATAAGTTGCCCGTGCGCACCCGACCGATACGACTGCGCGTCACACTTCTTATTTCTAAACAAAATTTTTTCCTACATCTTACATTACCGTCATTACCTTTGTTACTGACGCATTCTCGAGTTCACAAACCGCAATGCACTCTGCGCCAATCGTGCGCTCCAACATCATACTCTCGTTTACTGAAGCTAGAACAGGTTATAGTTCGCTTTGTACAAAGCGTAAATCACGCAGTTAACGATGCGCACATATCACACACGCTTAAAGTACCTTCTGTACATATATAATAATCTAGGAAGTACTTACTAATTTTTGTATGACATTAATAAATATCATATCGTTTCCATAGCAACGAAATCGATTTACAACAAGGAAGTGTGTACACCTGTTCCACGTTTGAAGTAAAATTTTATTTAATGCGGGCTGTAAAGTTTATAGAGGATGTTGTTATTTGTCGAAAGATAAATCGACATTGCGCGCGACCTCGCCCGCGGTCGGGAACGCTAACGAACCTCTCTCTTTGTTGTGCTCGTACGAACTGAGATTCCTAAGTGCGAAAGACTGTCCGAGGGATTCGGAAGATCTAACGATCGCTAGTATAGACGTATAGTAAATGCAGTAGGATGTGTGTTATTTTCAGTCGCTTTAAAGAATGTTTGTTTTGTTGCAGCGCGCTGCCTGCCTGGCTGCGACGCGGAGCACGGCCACTGCCTCAAGCCTGACGAATGCATGTGAGTATCCACTTCGCACCATTGCGCTAAATGCTCACGTTACCTCCCTTCGTGCCTAAATCATTCATGCACCTCATTGTTCTGTGAGCGGTGAAAACATGCTTTTTAGACGCTTGTTATCACTTTGGATTGTATAGTGACCGATGTTTTTGTTCATTTTCAGTTGTCATTCAGGCTGGGTGGGCGAGCTCTGCGATCAATGCGAGCGTCATCCGGGCTGCGTTCACGGCACCTGCTCCAAGCAGTGGGACTGCAACTGTGAGGAGGGCTGGGGCGGATTGTTCTGCAATCAGGACTTGAACTATTGCACCAACCATCGACCGTGCAGAAATGGAGGCACGTGTCATAACACGGGTCAAGGAAGCTACACATGCGTCTGCCCTCCGGAGTACACGGGACCCGATTGTGAGAAATCACTCCATTCATGTGCAGTTCGACCGTGTCTCAATGGTGGAGCGTGCGTACCGGATGAAGAGGGAGAATTATCCTGCGCCTGCCCTTCGGGTTATGAAGGAGCACGCTGTGAAACTAGAAGACTGACTTGCGCCGATCAACCTTGCCGAAACGGTGGAACATGCGAACCACGATTATCTGGATATGTGTGCTTGTGTCCTGCGGGCTACGCCGGAGCAGATTGTGCACTCGAGGCCGATCCGTGCGCCGCCAATCCATGCCGCAACGGAGCGACCTGTTCCCGCGCCGGTGACGGTTTCAGATGCAATTGCAAGCCCGGTTTCAGCGGCAACCGATGCGAGATAGACATAGACGACTGCGCCGGGATCATCTGCAAGCACGGCGGCTCATGCGTTGACCTCGTCAACGGACAGCGCTGCCAGTGCGCGCCCGGGTTCCTTGGGCCGAGATGCGAAACCAGAGTGGATTTGTGCCTGGCGAAACCGTGTGCGAACGGGGGTGAATGTTTCGTCCTTGACAACGATTACGAGTGCCGCTGTCGACCGGGCTTCACTGGCAAGGACTGCAGCATAGACGTGGACGAATGCGCGTCGTCGCCTTGCCGCAACGGGGGCTCGTGCAAGGACCGTGTGGACGGCTACACGTGCATCTGTCCGCGGGGTTGGAGCGGGAAGGTGTGCACAGTGTCGCTGGCGGAGCTGGCTGCGAAGCCGGCAGGCGGGCACCTGCGGCGGGTGGGCGAGGAGGTAGAGGAGGGGGAGCGGCTGTCGCGCGGGCACGTGGCGCTGATCGCCGCGGCGTCGGCAGTGGTGCCGCTGCTGGCGCTGGCGGCGGGCGTGGCGCTGTGTGTGCGGCGGCGGCGTGCGGCGCGCGCGGCGGACGCGGAGGCGCGCGCGCAGAACGCCGCGAACGCGGGCGGCCGCGTCATCCGCAACACGTGGGGCAAGTGCGACGCGCCCGCCGAGTGCCAGAACGCGCACAACGCGGCCGCCGAGGAGTGCAAGCGCAAGACGCTCAACACCGAGAGCGCGGCGCGCTTGCTCGCCGCACTCGACCCCAGGCTCTCGCGGCTCTCAGCCGATTCCGCCTACTGCGCAAACAGGTCAGTATTCTTTTTTTATTTTTTGAATAAGAATACTAGTAACGTTATTATTATTATTATACACCCGTTGACCACTAAGTAAACTCAAAAATACTTGTGTTAAGAGTTATATACCACAGTAGTTGAATGGCGGAATCGAACTCATAACTTTCTTTGAGCTTACAGTCTAAACAGTACCATTGCTGCCGCTTAATTCGTTCTTTCACACACGTTATTTCTGCCACGTTTGACAGGCGGTTTGGCAACCACAGTTTTTTTTATTATTTGCAGTTGTTATCAGAAAGATGCTGCTCGTACCCATCTTCTGTTTCAGTTTTCCTCTATCGCCTCTAAGGACACCCACGGGATGATATGGCGTAGTAGTCTCTTACGTAGTAGACATAACCTGTTTACCTTTATATAACATCAATAATTGACGATTATTTTCTAACTGATGAAGGAACATAAAGATCTCTATTTTAATAACAGTTAATCTAACCTATTTTTCTTTTGTTTGCAGTGATACATCGCTAGTAAAGCGAGCGCTAGAAGGCGGAGGGGTGTACGTGCTAGACGACCATTGCCTGCCGCCGACGTTTGCAACGCAAGTGTAGTGCATACGAACGCGACATAGGACACAATAACTTATTTATTCATAACGGACGCTAGTGCGAATCAGGCTGTGCGCCGCGTGTATATATAGCGTTAATTGTAAAGTGACCCCCCTGTATAGACGGCTAGTTGTAAGCATTCGGATGTATTTATTTGTGAGTGCGATTCGTACGCCCCCTGTAAATAATATCGGCGGAACGGATCGCATTTTTCCGCCCCTGATCGGCGAGCGTCGCCCGAAGCGCGCGACCTCGGTCTCTGTCGCGTGAGCAAGATGGCGTCGCGAGTCAAGTGCGCGAAACTCAGAACGTCAAAGCAAGAACGTTATTGATGTGACATTGTGTTCCGATCGGTTGAGTTCCCGGGCGAGGACCGCGCTCGTCGAGGGGCCGAGTGGACCCCGTCCACGTCTGCGATCTCTAAATAGGTAAAGGTGCGAAGTGGCGCCCGCGTGCTCGGTCCGGCGCGCGCGCCTCTCGCGGGGAATCGATACCACAATATCGATTAACCGAAATTGGCTCAATCGATACCGTCGTATCTATTCCGCGCCGATTTCACACCACACGCTGTCCCTCTCCTAGACTCGCACCAGTATAGAAGCCAAACCGTGCGTAAAATAAGATTTTTTAGACTAATTTATAAAAAACGCGATCGTTGCGTTCATCAGTTTTTACATTGATTATATATATTATATTTTTTTGTGATTGACTAATTATTGTCATTTGTTCCTATGATTATAATTAATAGTGATTGCAATCAAAAATCTTGTTCAGGTTTTGTTGAAAATCGACATAGATTTTTTCATTTCACTTCTCGCTTCCCATATTATATGCTGTAATGGAATGAAGGCACAAGTTTCCGTTGCGCGAACGCCACATGCACCTCCTCTATGTCGTTGTAGCACTTAGAGGCGGTGGAAGTCCCGCTCGCTGCACACCACCCGCACCTAATTAGTCCATAGGTTAAAAATAATATTGTGTACTTATAAGAAAACAAAATGTCGAAACCTAAGTCATTGTGTATAAAAAACTATTAAGTTGTAGTGATGTAAGTATATTCTCCATTAATTCAGTAAGAGTACTATGACAATAATGTGTTGTTAGGCAACATAGGACACCTGTGCAGTTTGATTTTAACTTATTTATTTTAAATAGGTGTAGCACAAATGAAGTCATTGCATGTCGATCTCGCCTATGATGTGGCGCAGGTTTCGAACGAACCTGCGTCATATCGTCGCTAGATCATCTGTGAGATAATTTATGTTAAATTTGCCGTTTTTAAGAGTTTGTAGATATTGTTCTTATAATCGTTACGTCCTGTGTTGTCTATTGTACTCGAACGTATATTAAAGAAGGTTAAATCGACAATTTTGAGAAATTGTAAAATTTATATCAAACTATGAATAGACTGATGATCAATAATAATGTTCTAATCTTGTATTTAATTTTGTAAGATGACAAAATGTAAGTTTAAATTATGTGGAAAAACAAAGAAACATTGCCGGATGTAATATTAATCTTAAATATTGTACTTAAAAATTGATCACAGTGAAAACGAAAGCCTTTCATTTTTCTTTTTGATTATTTTTTTAAATATTATACGCGTAATATGATTTCATTAGACACCAATAAAATGACAGTATTTTTAATTTATTTATTGCAACTATTATTATCTTTCAATTACTTAAATAAATAATTAATCTATATTAAATTAATTTTTGAATTTTGTTTACAATTGACTGAAGCGAAACTGTCTTCTCGATTTGTACTTTGGACACTTTTAGGAATTACAATGCATTTAAAAAAAACTAAGTGTGAGTATACTGAAAGATAAAAATTCAAATCATTCCATTTTCATAGGTATCTTTTATCTTTTTTAATCTTTATTTTTTTATTTTTCTAAGTTTATTTTGCATGCGAACCAATTAATAATTGTCTTAAATATACTTTATTTTTGTCTAAGTTAGATAAAGTACAATTATTTATTGTTCTTTCCTTTCTATATTACCCTTTTAGTATATTCACATTAATTGTTTGTATTTCAAAAGAAAAATGAAAGCGAGCCTGTATAGAAAGTTGTAACGAGTAATTCCATAAATAGATCCTATTAAATAAAGTCATACTGTAATGTTGCCACAGTGGTGATTATGCCAGCGAGTGTTTGCGACGAATGTGTATTATTATGTGCAGAGATGCAACGAGATAAAATGTTAATAAACAATTGTTTACAAAAGATTAACAAGATTTTCATTTTTACCCTCACACGTGACGTGCAAAAATAATCAAAATTATGATACATTCTTACACCACTTACTAAAATAATAAGTATCGACATAAACTTCAGCCAATTTTTTAAAATACCAATCCTGTATAGCTCGCACTCATTGAAGTTCAAGAAGAATGAAACCTAAACCAGAAAATAGCAAAAAAAAACATTGGCTGCAGCTAAAATGACCTGAACGAGTCGTCGGTTCTAAATTCGAATTTAGAACTTTTTTTACTCGTTCAGGTACGCTAGCTTATAAACCAAGGGATTTTCAACATTTTAATATTATTCTTCCGATTTCACTAACTCAGAAATAACCACCCATAAAACACATTGAACGTATTTCGCATTCTATTTATAATAAAGATTTTTCAGGTCAAGCCCATAATTGAGATTTATAAACTAATTCCGTCACTAACAACAATTTATTACACGATAATTACAAAAATGTCTAAAGCAACAGCTTTTACATTACGTTCCACTGTCATCTATCAGGGTTTGTTGTATTGGACAAGAAGGGTATCGTAGGATTTACACAGACTGCTCGTATATTTATTAATTTAATCTTTATTGCAACCTTATCTAAAAAAAATATTACAAACGGCAGACTTAATGCCTATTAGCATTATCTACCAGTCAATCCTGGTATATTTTAGTCCCGATTCGCAGCTCTGTCTTGCCAGCAATGCAAAGTCAGGAATTTGTATTTAGAAAAATCCAAAATTAGGGGCTTTTTAGGTGCTAATTAGGTGCCAAGTTTAAAAATTAGGTACTCTAAAATTTTCACCGCAACGAACTGTTAAAATTTGCGTTGCTGGCAAAACGTATCGCTAGCAACGCAGTGACGATAGATATACGATAAATATTAATAGCAAAGAGTTAAGTTCTGAAAGATTATTGAGGTCGGATGTAGATGATGGTAATATTCTAGGAACTATCGGGTCCAGAACCACCATTACCTTACTATAAGGGGTGACCGACATTTTTTGTTCTTTAACAGTTATATATTATAGATAAGATAAGTCGAATGTGTACTAAACCCCAACCGAACGCACCGGCTCCACGTAGTCCAGTCTGTCCTACCCCTAGAGTGTTTTTATAAAGTCGTAGGCGCGGAAAGAAAGCAGTCCCCGCCCTCTTCAAATCGCAGGTATCTGTGATCACCTCCGCAGCTTAGGCCTCAGCCGCTACGGCTCGCATGTGCCTGTGGTTTGCTACTCAAGGGCGCTGCACTTCCCGCAGCGCCGAAGCCGTTGCAGAAGTAACTGTGTAAAAAAATTGAGGTATTTACAAAAAAAATTATTACCGTAAAACGGGGTGAATAGGGATCGCGAGGTGAATAGAGACAAAATCGGGAATGAGATTGGGACGCAATTTTAACAAAATAAAAAACTTATGAATTGGTAGAAATTATTTTGTCATGTAGTAGAATATATGATCTTTTTCGTGGCAACACCTATCCATAGGGAAGTTTGCAAGAAATGGTCATAATTTTCACACGAAAACGAACGGTTGCACTTGTGTTTTTATATGCTCTCAAAACTTGGGTCATAATTTGAAAACTTGTTGTGTTAACGTAGCAAAAGTGTTTTTAAATTGAAAATCATTTATCCTTGGAGATCCACACAAGAAGTAGTATATATATTTGGAAGAGGATAGGTAAATAAAAATGTATAGAGTAGAGAAAGGAATATATTTATTTAAAATTAACCAACACTTATTGTCAATAAGTAAAAAGTAAAAACTTAAACAATTAAATTTCTTCAGAAACAAACAAATCCTCTAACAAACAAAATAATTTATCAACTTAACAATCGTCATAATTTATAATGTTAGATAAAGGTACTCCTGCTATACATTTCTCAAGATGAGTAAAATATTCTTCTACAACTTCGCGTGAAATTGCCGCGCGTGATCGTTTAATGTTCTGACTTATTCTTAGTGAAATTTTGTCTTGGTTTCTTTTTAGGAAACTTTTTACATAGTCAGGACCTGGTAGATTATCTTTAAACTTTTTTACATTCACACCAATCCTATCTAAGTATCCTTTAACCAAAATCCGCAAATCGTAGGTATCTAATGGATATCCCCACTCAGAACAATAATTTATATTTTCTATAATATAAGCCTCTTCCTCGTCAGTTAATACCGTTTGACCACCTTGCTTCTTCATGAATTTGTGTTGTGTCTGTGTAAAACAGATTTAGAAATATTATATTGTGAAAACCGGCAGCGATCACCGAATGGTTAGAGGCACACTGAACCTAAACGTTAAGTTGGAGAGGTCTCGTCTAATGAAGTCAACGCTCCGTCCCCCTCGTGCTCTAATCCAAAGTCCCGAAACCTTTCAGCTCGAGTTGCAAAACCGTTTTCAGTGCCTAGAAGACTGCAATGAAGTGGACGATTTGAATGACAAGCTCGTGGAAACTGTCCATGCGGTCGGAGCTAAGTTCTGCAAGACCCGCCGCAGAAGAACACAAAAACTCTCCGATCACACTCTTAATCTCATGGCTGTTAGACGGGAGATGAAGCTACATTCTTCAACAGATTTGACAGCATACAGGCAACTGAACAGACAGATCTCCAAATGCATGCGGCGGGACTTACGCAACTTCAATACAGCTCGTGTTGAAGAAGCGATCGAGCGGAACCAAGGCTCCAAAGTCTTTGCCAGAGATCTGTCTGCCAGAAAGAGCCAACTGTCAAAGCTGAAGACCGAATGTGGCAGCATCGTTTC